ATTTACTTAAAGGAACCAAGGCTTTCTTTTGAAACTGTACAGGGTTGAAACTGAGAGCCCTGAGTTGTATATGAACAGTTCCTTATCCTGGGTACACAGTCTTTTTTTTTTTTAAATCACCATCTGATGCAAGAATTATCTGGGGCCCCTGGAATGGCCTCCGAAAGAGGATCTGAAACTGTTCGAGGTTGGGGAGGGAAGTGCCCTTTCAGAAGGCCAAGAAAAACACCGTCAAATTATACCTTGGGAATGGAACAAAAATTGTTTTGTCCGAATGATAAGGAAAGTCTAAAGCATGAAGAGAAAGGGTTCTCCTGTGCACCTTCCCCCTTTCTCCAGTACCTGGAGCCAGAGGCAGAATCCCTGGTCCTTTCACTCCTCTCACCTGCCATGGTCCCTTCATGGGGAGGCGTGCCTCACCCCCACCCTGCCCAGTTGCAGAATTCCTTCTTCACCTCTTTCCTTCTTATGCCCGCGCTCCTTTGCTTCCTTCTTGCATTTCCTGGCTCCCTATTATTCTCTTGGGAAGGCACCACAAGGAGAAAGAATTGTCATTGGAAGGCCAGAGTTCAGGCCCAGCTTTTGACTGTGCTATTGTAAGAGGAGTTTAAACTTCCCAGCACCCGGGGCAGCTCCCTGTGTCTCTAGATTATAGCTAATCTGCATCGGTGAAGGGAGTTTCCACACCAGAAGGCTCCTATTTGGGTAAAACCACCAGGATCATAGGTTTCTGGATTTAGGGCTGGAAGACACTTCAGAGGCCACCTTGCCCAACCCTCTCACTTCAAAATTGAGGCCCAGAGAGGTTAGGTGACTGGATCATCTGGGTCACACAGGTAGTTAAATAACAGATCCAGGGCTCAAACCTAGGAATTTGAACTGTCTACTTATCTAGTGGCTTGCACAGTTCCTTAGCTATTAGAGATGATTAACAGCTGTTGCTGGGAATGAATGTGCTCCTCACAAAGTGGGAAATAGAGGGGCTAGACTACCAGAATTCTAAGCTCCCCTTTCCAGACCATAAACTCTATGCCTGTTGTTTTTCAGTCTTATCTGACTCCTCCTGACCCCTTTTGGGATTTTCTTGGCAAAGACACTGGAGTGGTTTGCCATTTCCTTCTCCAGCTCATTTTATAGACAAAGAAACTGAGGCAAACAGACTTGCCCAGGGTCACACAGCTAGTAAGTGTCTGAGGCTGGATTTGAACTTGGGTTTTCCTGACTCCAGACCTGGCGCTCTATCCACTGCACCACCTAAAAACTATGCCTAGAAGGATATTAATTGAACAAAATGATGTCACGACCCAAAGACACTCCCCCCTTCGGCAGAGCCCCCTTTCTCCTCTGGATGCCCTCTGTGACAGAGCTGAAGATGGAGGTCCTACTGGGATAGTCTGTGGGTCAACAAGCCTGTGCTAAATCCTTACTCTGCTCGAGGCACTGGCATGCCAGGGCCTCTCTGATGTTGTCCGGGAGGCCATGGAAGGGAACAGCTTTAAGATTCTTAGCATTTGTAAGTCAGGAGGAATGAGCAGGTTCTCAGCAGCTGGTTTGACCTGGGGAGCCCGGGCCCTCACCATATGGAGATGCCCATCACCGATGACTGACTTCAGCCTGCAAGCGCATCTCGTGCCTGGATGAAAAGCACCAGAGAACTGGCAGGAAGCCCTGCCCAAATTAAGCAGCGACTCATCTCTACCCTGAGCCACTCTGTCTGGTTCCTGGCTAGCCTGTGGCCTCAAACACACAGTCCTTACGACCAAGGCATCACAGAGCTAGGGCTCGAGACCTGAGATGATCTGGTCCAAAGCCCCCATTTTTTTGGGGGGGGGGTCTAGAAATTCCTGTCCCGAGACCTGAGATGATCTGGTCCAAAGCCCCCATTTTTGGGGGGGGGGGGTCTAGAAATTCCTGTCCCAAAGCACTTTTCAGGGCTGGGGGGTGGGAGGGCCATGGAAGGGGAGAGGAGCCAAGTGCCTGAGAGCTTGAGGGACACTCGCTACACTAGCCTTGTCTCTAGATATCGGGAGTTGCTGTTGACTACTTTAGTCTGTCTTGTTCTGAATTGTCACCTCAATACCCCACCCCTTTCCCCAAACCCACCTAAAGCCACCTCCAGGAATACCCTCTTCCATGCCCTGTGTCTGTCTTATGCTTAGGAACAAAAGGGAATACTGAGTGGCTAGGCACATCCAACCCATCTCCCATAACCCCCTTCTGCCTTGCTCTCCTAGAAAAAAACAATTGAAGTTCAGCAATTTTCAGGTCAAAGGGAAGAGAACCTGGAACCCAAGTGGCCTCAGTCCCCATTCCCTCCTGTCATTATAACACTCTGTGGGCTTTGGGTTGGTGGGGTCCCCTCCAGACGAAGGGGACGTATAAAATTACAGTGCTTTTGGAAACCTCATTCCCTTTTTCTGGAAGTTGGGTCTGGGTGAGCCTGTAGCCATAGGATCTGCTCCAAACAAGTGGAAAACCAGTTCCACTTAGAGGGTGGTAAGAAAGTTAGCTGGGGAAAGACTGAGACATTATCAAGTTGGGGAGGGAGGCAGAAAACAGGAAGATGGGGAAATGAAGCACCGTCCCTTTAAACATCCAGGGGATTACAGGCTGTAGCAAACACTAGACTAAGGCAGGGGAGGTGATGTGCCCAGGGTCCCACAGGTAGAAAGTGTGATGAATCTGTGCCCCTTCCAGCAATGCAGATGGGCCCTCTCACCCAACCATGACTCCCTATCCTGGGTAACTCCTGGCCATCTGCGTATTCCCTTCAATCTTCCTCCAGGGAGACCTACTGTGTGTCAGGGATCTTCCTCCTCCCAGCAACGCAGGCAGACCCTCATCCATCCACATCTCTTGCCCATCTGTACCTTCCCTTCAATCCTCCACAGGGGAAACATACTGTGTTTCAGGAGCTTTCCTCTAGAATGCTTGACATTATGTGGGATACGATTGGTGCCCACTGGCTGTCGAGTGGTTACCTCTCAATCCCATAAAAGGATAGAGAGGCAGGTTTGCCTTATTTACAATTTTACATGCCTTATTCACTCGGCTTTCCTGGACATCTAATCAATGGCCATAAATGTAGATAGCTAGACAGTTTTAATAGAATACTTTAAGGTTTGCAAAAACACTTTAGCTATACTACTGTATTTCATTTGACTCTCATAACAACCCTATGAGGTAAATGCTATCATCATTCCCATTTTACAGATGAGAAAACTGAGATTGAGAGAAGCCAAGTATTAGAAGCAAAATTTAAACTCCGATCCACTCCTCAACTTAAAAGCCCTTATCTATCTCACAGGGTTGCTGGGAGCAAAAGGATTGGAAAAGCTTAAATCACTAGAAAAATGGGAGTAATTATGACTCGTTACTTGCAAGTGATGCCTATTTGATCAAGTGAGTGAAAAGAACAGAAAATTAAAGATAAAAGGATGTGAGTGACCCTCTAATTTCCATGACCTCCCCTGATGCAGATAACGATGTCACTATGTGTCCCTACCCTCTGACCCTCCATCTGAAAACCCTACCAAGTAGGTCCCCATCACTGGAGGTCTTCAAGCACCGTCAGGATGGACATCTGGGGGGGGGGGCGGGAATTGTAGAAGGGATTGTAATTCATGACTGTGTCAGACCAGATGGAGTCTGGGGCCCCTTCTACCTGAGAATTGGTAATTCTCCACTGATCAGGATTTAGATAAAGAAGGGATCTTAAGACGGTTCATTTAGTCCAATCCTCTCATCTTACAGATGAGCAAACTGAAGGTGAAAGACACTTTACATTTTAAAAATGAAAACAAGATGCAGAGGAAGATGGATTTAGGATCAGGAGTGCCTGGGACATAATAGGTATGTAATAAATGTTTGATTCATTAACCTGGGCCTAAATCCAGCCTTACTTCACACCTGTGTGACCGTGGACAAAGCACCTAGCCCACCCCTGACCTATCCTCTCTCTGGTCTGTTTATCCATTGACTGACTCTCTGAGCCCAGCTTCCTAATCGATCATAGAAACCTATAAGTTTGCATCTCATAGGGTTGCTAGCTGTGTGATCTTGGGCAAATCCCTTCACCCTGCCTGCCTCAGTTTCCTCATCTGTAAAATGAACTGGAGAAGGAAATAGCCAGCCATTCCAGTATTTTTGCCAAAAACAAACGAACAAAAAAACCCTAAAATGGCGTTAAGAAGAGTTGGACACGACCGAGGGTTGTTGCTAGGATCAAACGAGATGATGTGCCTAAGGCATTTTGGACATAAATCTCCGGCTATTAATTAGGGAAATCGTTTTCTTTGTGTATGTGGGTGTGAGTGGTGGCAGCAATGGGTCTGAAAAGCCCCTCGGTCAGTGGACCTTTACCTTCTGTAAAGTAAGAGGGTCAGGCTGGAGTTCTCCGAGGTCCGTCCAGCTCGGAATCCTGTGATTGATGACCCCTCTGGGTCTCAGTTTCCCGATTTGTACCTTGAGAGGGGTTGGACTAAATGACCCCTAAGGTCTTCAATTAGCTCTCTGATGACATGTTTGGTCTCGCTTCCTGCTCTCTAAGAAAGCTTGGTCTCCCGGGGCCTCAGTCTCCCCAAGGGTAAAACGACGAAGCGGAACTTCTAAGGCCAATTCTCAGTTTCACCGCGTCCCAAGAACTTCTCGCTCTGGCACTCCCAGCTCGCCAGGGGCTGTCACGTGGTAGAGCTCCCTCCCCTACCCCTCCCACTTCGTGCGCGCGGCCGCCAGGTTCCCTGCAGCTGACAGCGCTCGCCCCCGCCTCCCGCCCCCGCGCCGAGCGGAGCCAATCGGCGGCGCACTGCGCCGTGCGTCACTCGCCTCGGGCCAATGGGCGGCGGCCACGACGGTTATACGGGCGGGCGGGCGCAGCCGACCCGGCAGTCGGAGCGGCGGCGGTGACGGGGTAGGGGTGGCTTGGGGGGCCGGGTCCGCGCGGGGGCGTCCGTCCGTCCGTCCCTGAGGCTCCGCCAGTCCGCACTCACTCTCACAGGCGCGCAGCGTCCGCAGCCATGGTGGTGGTGGCCCAGACCCCGGCCCCGGCCCCGGCCGCGCCCAAAGTGCTGCTCCTGTCGTCCGGGAAGCCCCCGGGGCCCGGGGCCGCCCCCGCCTCCGCGCCCGCGCCCGGCCGCGCCCTGCCCCTCGTGCTGCCCCCGAGCCCGGAGGCGACGAGCGGGGGCCCCGGCCCCGGCCAGAGCCCGGCCCGCAAGCGGCAGCGCCTCACGCACCTGAGCCCGGAGGAGAAGGCGCTGCGCAGGTGAGCCCGAGGCCGTGCCTGCGTGGCGCCCGGCACGGGGGGAGGGGGAGGAGGGAGAGGGAGAAAGGCGTGCCCCTCCCCCTCCACAGCCGGGCCACGACCGGACCGGTTAGCTGCCCCCCTACTGGGTGCCAGCCCCAAAGCGCCTTAGAAAGCGCTTCCTGCCCGGCGTCCGTCTAGACTGGTGCCGCCCCTCCCGGGAAGCCCTCTCTGATTCCAGATCTAGACTCTAGAGCCAACGAAAGGTGGTATTTAAGTGACCTGCTGCAGCCTTGGGGTGCTCCACCAACGAGAGTTGTCATTATCGTTATTATCATCATTAGTGGCAAGAAAGCTCCGGGCTGGGCGTCGAGGAAAGCTTGGGCTCCAGGCCTGGTCGGCAGCCCCTCTGGCAGCCGGCTGGGCAAAGCTCAGAGACCTCCGAGCCTCAGTTTACCCCTCAGTCAAACGACAATCATTCATTAAGGGCCTAGTATAGAATGTGCTAGAGGTGGGAAGGCTCCCAGAAAAAATGTTGGTGGAAATCCCTTTAAAATTGGGGTGAGAGAGGGGCTGTTACGTCTAAGAAGGTGGGGTATTTGTCATGCCAAGCTCAGAGAATTTCCAGAGAATCTAGGTAAGAGACCTGATGATTGAAGCAAAGACTGTAGGATTTGGAAGGATGGGAAGGCATTGGGGAGTATGCCCACCTCCTCCATAGTCCATCCCTCAGGCTTTCACGATGACAAGGCTTAAGGCCTTGTGGAACTGAATCATCTGAGTCATCACAAGCTCCAGTTTACCTGGGAATTAGATTTAGCCAAATACAGCCCCTGACCTCTAGACACCTTAACATCTGGGAATAATGCCTGCTCCTCATTCCAACACTTAGGTTGGAGAGGGGGCAGAGGGCTGTAATGATCCTTTTGTACCGGCCAGTAACATCTGACACAAGTAATTCCAAGTTTTTTTGGTAACCTAAGCAACTTTTCCTAATTCCCCTCACTCCCATCCAAATGTACAATAAAACACTACCTTCCCCCCCTCTCAATTCTCTTTTGATCTTTAATTTGCACATATATGCATTTTACCATCGTTCTAATTAATTTGTAACATTATTTCTTGCTTCCAAATTTCTGTTTAATTCGCTTAAGCATTTCCACATTGACACAGTTCACATTCTTGGGATAGAATAATTTCACAGTGTCCCAGTTGTTGGGCTGTTTCTAATTTTTCCCTTGTATAAATCACTTGTGTAAGTGAATTACGAGAGTTGTGCTAACTGTGCGGGGGGGATAATGAAATCCTGAATCAGGAAGACATTTTTTTTCTGATGCAAGAAATAGTCCATGTGTGTCTAGCATGGGCCTTGAATGATGCAACATTGGAGAAACTTAGTTGAAGGCTTTGTAAGTCAGCTGACAGCATACAGAAATGGTTCTTTGGATAGGTTGGTGAGCACAGGGATGGATGCTGAGGAATTCACTTGAATTTACTTGGAACTCTAGTGCTTTTTTAAACTTTGGGAGCCGACTGTGAAATCATCTTTGAATGATAAACAGTTTCCAAGTCTGCTCTGGTAGCTCTGGTTCAACAAGTGCCAAGGCTGTCTTTCCGGGGATCCACTCTCAAAAGGGCCCGTGCCAGCCAGCCACACTCTGTGACTACAATAAGGACAAAAAGCAGGAGATGTTTTTCTAAGAAGTAGAAGTAATATTCGGGAACCTCGTATTATAACTTTGGTCCTCAGAGCCATGAGAGTGGAATGACCTGTGGACTTTAAAGACACATTTTTCCATTCCCAGGAAATTGAAAAACAGAGTAGCAGCACAGACTGCTCGCGACAGAAAGAAAGCCCGAATGAGCGAGCTGGAACAGCAAGTTGTGGACTTGGAAGAGGAGGTGAGAGACTGGACACAGTAGTGAGGCCGCCGTGGCTCTGGTCTCCCGTGGACACCCCCCCCCCAACACGCGGTGTTGCCGCTTCCTGAGTCAGTCCCCTAGAGACACATTGAATTTAGTTGGTCAGTGTTTGACAGGTGCTGTGACCAGGGGCCATGAGTATGATGCAGATGACTGAAAATACTTTAGTTGAATACAAGTAAAATGTTCAACCAAACCTCTGCCCTTTTCCTAAAGTTGTTGTGATTTTACTTTTTTTTTTTTTTTTTTTTTTGGTGAGGCAATTAGGGTTAAGTGACTTGCCCAGAGTCACACAACTAGTAAGTGTCATGTGTCTGGGGCCGGATTTGAACTCAGGTCCTCCTGACTCCAAGGCCAGAGCTTTCTCCACTGCGCCACCTAGCTGCCCTCCTAAAGTTGTTAAGGACCTGTTGCCAGCTCAGGCTTGGTCCACCCAAACGTTCCACTGTGCAAATTAAATCTCACCAGTGGTAGCCCACCATTCTCTCTGAATAGTGAAGGAAGCAGGTGAGACTTAGGGACGGGGACAGTCTCTGTGGGTGAGTCACTTGACACATTCCTTCTCCTTTGAGTCATGGACAGGCCTTGAAGTGAAAACACCTGGTTGTGAGTGCAGTGGAGTGCAGCAGCTTCCAGCACCAAGTCTCTGCTTGGACCTTGGCGGGCTGACCCAGGCAGGAGATGTCTCAGTTTGAGAAGCACTCTGGCAAATGTTTCACTTCTCCATCTCTGGTGGCAGTCAGCCTTAAAGGGACGGCACGCCTGCCTTTCTGTATGTGTAAAGACTGATCTAGGACATGTACACACCTCCTAAACTTTTTAAGAGTTGATTGTCTTCTTGTTACGCGTTTTTCCATGCCTGCTTTCCCTAACAATACATGTGAAAACAGGACCACTGTTTTTTCATTGCTCCATGACTGTGCCGTATGAGGCAGCCCTTCTAAAAGCCAGGCCCTAGGTGTGTCACTTATGAACATCAGTACCTAGAATTAGGTTTAGGACCCTTTAGCCTTGGAATTTTTATCTTGGCAGCACCTATTTGGAGCCTTACTCCGTCGGTCAGTGGCTACCAAAGGCTTTTAGGAAGAACAGGCTTTAAAAATATTCCTGCACAAGTTACTCAAAATTTTAACTATTTGTGCATTGATTTACCCCAAAGGTCCCTAGGGGCCCAAGTATATTGACTTATGTGGGATAGAGTTCCAGGTGCTTTGGCAGTCTCTAATCAGATAGTCATTTCTCTTCTAGAACCAAAAACTTTTGATTGAAAATCAGCTTTTGCGTGAGAGAACCCACGGCCTTGTGATTGAAAATCAAGAGTTAAGACAGCGCTTGGGGATGGATGCCCTAATAACCGAGGAGGAAACAGAGTCCGAGGTAACAAGGGTCTGGGTATAACGGAATGGGCTCTGAGTGGTGAGGTCTGGTGGCGCAAGTTTAAATTCAAGGCCTCATCCTGGCACTGTAAGTTATTACCCTTGGCCACAAGAAGAGAATCCTTCCCTCGGTCGGGTTAGCTCGTCTGAACCATCCCTGACCCCCAGGCTCCTGCCTGGACCGCTTCTCCCACGCTTCCGGACGTCAGCTGTTGTTCTGTGGCTCCTTCCAGGTGAATGACGTCCGGTTGGTGGCCGGGTCTGCTGAGTCCGCAGCACTCAGACTACGTGCGCCTCTGCAGCAGGTGCAGGCCCAGCTGTCGCCCTTCCCGAACGCGTCCCTGTGGATCCTGACGGCGTTGACTCTTCAGACTCTGAGGTAAGGCTCTGTCCCTTGGAGCCTCATCACAGTGTATACGGCCGTGTAAGCCGTTCCATTAATGGTGTTGTCTCTTGCAGTCTGATATCTTGTTGGGCATTCTGGACAACCTGGACCCAGACGTGTTCTTCAGCTATGTTAGCACAGAGTATTGCCTGGAGGAGCTCAAAGAGGTGGGTGCCCAAGAGCCTGACTCCTTACCAGCCTCCCCTTCTCCTTTGGTGGGGCCCCCATCAGCCAAGCTGGAAGCCATTAATGAACTGATTCGGTTTGACCACGTGTACACCAAGCCGCTCGTCTTGGGGCTCCCCTCGGCAATGGATGGTCAAGGCAGCGTGGCAGTGAAAATTGAGGAGGCCTCCCTCAGCTGCCCACCTGAGCCGCTCACTGTGTCTGTAAAAGAAGAACTCGTCGAGGCTGATTTCATCCCAGAGCTCGGTATCGAGAACCTGCTGTCCTCCAGCCCCTATCCCAAGTCTTCTCCCTGCCTGCTGGATGCTTGTAGCGACTCCGGCTATGAGGGTTCTCCTTCCCCTTTCAGTGAGATGTCCTCCCCCCTTGGCACAGGCCACTCTTGGGAGGACGCTTTTGCCAATGAACTCTTTCCTCAGCTGATCAGTGTCTAAAAAAGTATTGTTCGCTTGTTGTCCAAAGCATCATAGTGCGCCCACAGTTTGAAGGCAGTGGTGGTGAAGGCGGCGCTTTCCTAGGATAATTGATCTCTGGAGCATCATGGTCCACGGGCCAGGCTTTGCTGGAGCATCTCAAGTATTGTCCTTAGCCAACTCTGGCAGCCGGAAGCAAGGCTGGACTCCCCTTGTCATTTTTATATCCTGCCACCTGAGTAAGATAGGAAGTTAAGGTCTGATTCCTTAGCTTTTTTCCTCCCCTTCCTGTTTTGCTACATCTTGACTCTTCGTTTAGTAAAGTCCTTTAGTTTGCTTGTATAAGCGGAGAAAATAGCTGTTGGGAGGGTTTGCTTTTCCATTATGTACAGTTGGATAATGTGAACATTAGAAGAAATCTTTTGTAAAGTTATAGAAATTTACTGTGTAAATGCTTCATGATAGGAACTCTTTCATGTGAGCTTGGCTTTGGGGAGGTGCTTTCTCCATTTTATTATTTAAAAGTACCCGTGCAATTAAAAAGTGCAATGCCGCTCTCTGTGTGATACTTCCTAGCAGTCTGGGTTTCAGTCCCAGCTATTTTTCATCTTTTCACAGTTTGACACTTGAGGAAAAACTGTGCCTTCAGTAAGGATTCTTTGTAGTCTGGACCTGTAGCTCACTGGTATAGAAAGCTCTCGGGAAGGAATGCCCCTAGCTAGGTCTCTGAGGTGTTAAAGAGCTTGCTTAAAGTCTGTCCACTATATAAGGCAACAGGACAGGAGTCTAGGGCTTCCTGACTCTCTCATAACGCCCTGGCTGCTTCTTTAAAGGAAAAAAAAAATCCCTTTTTAGTTAACACCTGTTAGGGCAAGAGTGAGGCAAAAACACTCTAGGTGTTCACATTCTGATGGCGGGAGATGCCATTCAAACAATTACATACACACATAGACAAAGTATGTGCAGGATAAATGAGGGTGGGGTGAAATTTGGAAAAGCCTTTTGCAAAAGGTAGGATTTGAGCCGAGTTTTGAAGGAAGGCAGGACCCAGAGGCAAGAAGGGATAGGGGAGGACAGCCACTGAAAGGAAAGGCCACAGATTAGGAGCAGGGAGTATCATGTTTCTGAATCAGAGTATGCTGAGGGGTAATAAAGTGTCAGAGCATTACATCTGATCGTAGGGGTAATTCTATGGAGAGCAGCCACTGGGGTTTAAGTTTGGGAGAAAGGGCTACATGGTCAGCATGAGTGGAGGATGGATGGACCAGCGTGGATCATGGTCCATGGAGGCAATATTAGCCTAGGCATAAAGTGATGAGCCTGAACCAAGTCATTTTTTAAAATTTTTTTTGTTTTTATATTTAGGCAATTGGGGTTAAGTGACTTGCCCAGGGTCACACAGCTAGTAAGTGTCAAGTGTTTGGTCTGAGGCCGGATTTGAACTCGGGGCCAGTGCTCTATCCACACCAACAGTCATTTTATTAAGAGCCTATTATGTGCCAGGCACTATGCTAAGGGTAGCAACTGTGTGAGTGGACAGATAGGGACATAGAAGAAAGACGTGCACGTAGAAAGGCTAGGACTTAGCAAAAAATTGGCTATGTCGAGGATGACACCATAGCTGTGGGCCTAGGTGTGACTCAGCCTCAACAGTAACAGGGAATCTGGGTAGAGGGGAGGAGAGTCTCTAAGATGTCCAATAGGCAAAGTGAGTCAAGAGGTCTGGAGAGAGAGGTTAGGGCTAAATAAAGAGAATCATCCACTAACAATCCTTGGGAGCTGACAAGACCATCAAGCATCATAGTATAGAGAAGGGGGCCCACAGATCCTCAAGGGACGTCCCAGGATGGCTGATTTGGATGAAAACCCAGTAGAGGAGGAGCCTGAGGTGAGGGCAGGTAAAGAGGTTCTTCTATTACTTGACTCGTTATTTTTCTCTACCTTGCTGACATCAACTTTAACAAACAGGTGTCAGATCATTTCTCAAGATTGGTAGCTGTGGGGATGTAAGTTACTCTTTATTGAAATCTACTCTTCACTCGGCTAAACGATCAGCAGCGTGAGGAGGCGGGATCGTTAGTGGTGTATACAGAACGCTGGTCAGGTGCAGAGCTAGAATCAAATCCTAGCCTCGACCTTGAGCTGTGTGACCCAGGGTCACGTCACTTCAACGTTGCTGCCCCTCAGAGGTTCCCTCAGCTGTGAAACGGAGGAGGCTGGTCTCCATGACCTCAAAGTAAATCTATGATCTAGAAATGAGTGCACAGTACTGTAAGGAAAGTGAATTATTGGTCCAAATGTGCCTTAAGTCAATATTTCAAACAGCTTGCAGAGGAAGGGGTAAATACAGCTATTCAACAAACTGCATTTTTCTTTTCCAAGAAATCAGATTTTTTAAGGTTTTAAGTTCTATTCTGGGGCAGCTAGGTGGCACAATGAACAGTGCTGGATCTGGACTTGGGAAGATTCATCTTCTGGAGTACAAATCCAGCCTCAGACATTAGCTGTGTGACCCTTGCCAAGTCACTTCACCCTCTTTACCTCAGTTTCCTCATCTGTGTAAAAAAAAAAAAAATGTGCTGGAGAAGGAAATAGCAAACCACTCCAGTATCTTTGCCAAGAAAACTCCAAAAGGGGTCACTAAGAGTCAGACACAACTGAAAAATGACTAGACAACAAAAAAAGTTACATTCATACTTTCTAATCCTGGAGAACCTTCAACCAAAAGAAAAATAACCACCTTTTAATATAGTCTGCCTCATTAGCACTTTTTTTTTTAAGAGTACAAACATCAGGGACAGCTAGGTGGCACGGTGAATAGAGCACTGGCCCTGGAATCAGGAGGACCCGAGTTCAAATCAGGCCTCAGACACTTGATATGTACGAGCTGTGTGACCCTGGGCAAGTCACTTAACCCCACTGCCAAACAAAAACAAAAAAGAGTACAAGCATCAACAAAGAACTACAGTTAAGGTAGTTTATTAAGGTAAAAGAAGTGGCTGTTTCCACCTGAGGCCCAGGGAACGGTTGCCCCAAATTCAGTTGCATCTGAAATTCCAGAATCTAAAATTCCATTACTGTTGCCAAAACGAAGGAGAGGTTGAGGCTGCCCAGGGCTTCGAAGCAGTATCTCTTTTGCCTCTGAATTTCCCACAATGACAAAAATATGATAATTATTGGTTTTCTGATGTTTGTTCGAAATCTTGAACCCTGAGTTCCAGCGTTGTGTTGGCAACATCGAGTTATTATGAAGATAGTGCAATTTTGAGCCAAAATTCAAAAAGAAACGATACTGTCAACAGGACAAATTTACACTTTTGAAACCGTGCAGCTGTGAAGCAGGGCCCATGTGCCTCACAACACAGGAATAACTCCAGAGACAACATCTCACTCTGCCATGAACCACACCAGGAGTTTTGTTTCCTGCACAGGTGTGTGAGAACCAGTATTTTACTAAGAATCTGCTAAAGGTTTAAACACTAGCACACCTGGTTATTTCAAAGCCTGTTTGAAATAGAAATACCCAACATTCAAATTGAACATTACAACCAATTTACAACGTGGTGTTAAATAGATGCTTATTATACTAATTAACAGAGAGAGGGAAGAACCACTGGAGGTTTTTCTCCTCCCCTTAAGTGAGGGGCTTCCTAATGATTTTTTTATTGGGTAGGAGAGAGAGTAAAGGTTGACGTGAGTGGGAAGACTGATCACAGCCTTCGGTATTTCAAAGGAGTATCAGACTTGCACTGGATTTCACAAGTAGGAGCAGGACAGCTAGGTGGCGCAGTGGATAGGGCACCGGCCCTGGAGTCAGGAGGACCTGAGTTCAAATCCAGCCTCAGACATATAACATTCACTAGCTGTGGGACTCTGGGCAAGTCACTTAACCCCAATTGCCCTCACACACACACACACAAAAGTAGGAGCGATGGGATGGGTAGGAAGGTCAAAGAGGTTTCCCAGCAATAGTGCTACCTGAAAATGGGGTGGGCAGGAGGTGGGGGGGGTGTCTGACTAGAGCAGGCTGACCCGCCTTTCGGAATTGGGCTTCAGGGTAGACTACAGGGCTTCTTAGGTTCGTTCCAACTATAATAGCATTTCCATAGTGCTTTAAGCTTTGTATTTTAACAGATGTTAACTCTTTTGATCCTCACAGCCCTGGGAGGGTGGTGCTATCATTACCCCCATTTTACAGATGAGGAAACCAAGGTAGGCAGAAATGAAGTGGCTTGCCCAAGGTCACACAGCTAGGATGTGTTTGAGGCTGGATTTGGACTCAGGTCTTCCTGACTCCAAGCCCAACTCTCTACTACAACACCTAGCTACCCCTAATGATGACAAAAATGAAGCGTCTGCCCTCAACAAACATGCCTTCTACTGGGAAATACGTAATTTCACTAAGGAGACTGGGAGAGAGAATATGGTAGCAGCCAGGTTGAGCCTGGGAAGAAGCTGGGGATTCTGTGAGGCAGAGATAAGGAGGGACATACAAAGGCCTCAGAGAGTCAGGGAATGACTAGTTCTGGGACAACTCTGCCTGGAATATGGGGTGAAAGGAAGTAATAGGGAAGATCAGTCTGGGGCCGTGGCCTTATTCTGTGACCTTCGGCCAAGTTGGTCTCTGCTTCGGCTGGGGAACGACGGGGTTACGGGGCCAGCAGTTTTCTATTTTGACAGAATGCACATTCCATCATCTAAAGTTAGAATCATCCAGCACTTTCACAAAGCCCTCCTGAGAAGGCTGACCACACTGCCCCCTAGTGCCCTTAAAAAACCCTGTACCATCTGGTTATTAGTGCAAGGCCTGATAACCTGGGGTGTGCGAAGCTTTTTTTTTTTTTAATTTGATTATTTCAATGTAATTGGCTTCTCTTGTAATTCTACATATTTTACTTTGTTCATGTATAAACATGATTCTGAGAAAGTGTCCATTCAGGCTGACTACCCAACGGGAGTCAGGACACAAAAAAACAACCAAGTGTCTCCCTGGATTGAGTTACTCAAGATCCAGGGCCGCTTTTCCTTTTTCTTTGACCATCCCCCACTTGCATATTACAAACCTCATCTGACTGGATTCTCATAACAACCCTGAGGTTTACAGTCCTTTTACAGATGAGGCAACTGAGGCAGAGAGGTTCAGTGCCCAGGGTCACACAGCTAGAAGTGAGGCAGGGTTTGAAAAGAGCCAGCCACCCCTGCCCAATAACAACCAAAGGCCAGCCCCAGAGCAGGCAAGGCAGCTTAGCTGAGGCAGCAGGGTGCCCCGAGGGAGAGACATCTCCCTCAGACTCTGAAGGGGAGAGCCCAGGCCCTTCAAACCCCTAGACCTGCTACTGCACCAGCCCCCACAACTATCGAGGACAGAAATCATTGAGGACAGCAGGCCTACTCTCCTCATCATCACCATCTGCTAACCGACTGCCACCCAGAGGTAGGAGCCCTGGGAGTGGCAGCTCTTCCCAGATCACCAGCCCGGCTTCCAGCCCAGTCCACACAACCACCATCCAGGGAAGCAACATGTACGGAGGAAGAGATAGTCGTCTCTACCCAACTGCTACAACAGCAGGTGAGACAGCCTGGCTGCATTCAGCAGCAAGGCCCTCTGGAGGAAGAGACAGGGCCAAGCCACTCTACTTCCTCCAGCACCTCAGGACCCGAAACCCAAGAGCCTGGGAATCGAGACATTAAGAAAAGGTGCCACTCCACTGCTTGGTCGGTTGGCCCCTCGGCACCACGGGACTCCCAACCATGTGCTCCGTCAACCCCTACTAGAATGGGAGCTCTTTGAGAGTAGTATCAGTCTTACATTTTCATTGTATACCCAGCACTTAGCACCTCAATCAACACTTCATTCATTCATTCATTAGTTCGTTCTTGACCTCAGGCATTCCCGACCCCAAGGCCAACACTCTCCACTGTACCATGGAGGGACTCCTCTGAAGAGATCAATTCTACCCAGAGATTAAGTGAAATGGGAAAATGAGTAAAGGAAGAAGATAAAGGGGATTATTTGAATTTAGTAAGAAAAGAAATTCCTACAAGTATGTATTGAGTGGATAAGATTGGAAAAAATCCCCCCCCTTACTCCATGAGGCTTTTTACAAGTTTTCTATATACATATATATATTTTAATGGGATCTTTTAGCCATTATGGATGGTTATCTTAAATCTTTTTGTTTTTAAAGCAATAGAACTTTTAAAAAATCAGTTCGCATTCTTCAGAAATATTTTCCCTGTGAACATGAAGCTTACCACCAACCCAAAAGGAGATTTAAGACAGGTCCCTTTGTCTGTCTAGCGATGGGAACGTCAGAACCTGAAAGATTCACAAGATGCCAAGTTCTGCTAAGCTGAAACTAACCTCAGGGATTACAGAAATGGGACAGAGTCATCTTAAAGAATCCAAAACACATAAGATTTATTGAAAACTATGACACACAGACAGACCAGATTTCCATTTGAAATAAAACGGCCGACAACTTCCAGTATATCTCCCTGGTAGTGTGCTGTTCTTGTCACCAGTTATTAACAATGAACAAATGAAGCTTGTGCATCATCATTCATCTGTAATGCCTCTCACTTCCCCCTCCTTTTTAGGATGGGAAGCGATCCTTTCGTGTCATCGACCAAATTTGTGAGAATGGCCTCACTTGTTTTGTAGTAATCAAAAACCCTTCACCTTACATCCGAGCTTGAGGAAAATCTACCTTTGCTTGGTAGAGATCCCTTTTTCAGGTAAAAGTCCCCTCACAATCCCAACACTCACCGACTCCTGGTCCGTGCTGCAGGATCCAGATGAATCAAAATATACAAGAAACCTCTAAGGCCTTTCAAAAAGCGGAAGCTTGATGCTACGAAAGGAAAAAAAAAAGCCGAGGCCAAACAAGGGCTGGGGGGATGGCTCAGAGGAGTCAGCACCAAAGGGGGTGAAAGAAAGAACAAGGTCTGCTATCGATATAAGCAAGAGGATGAAAGCCCAAAAAGGAACCTCAAGTACTTACTTTTCTGCAGAAATAAACAGGTCTGAGAGTCACAACTATCCCCGACCCCAAGTTCCCCGAGGCTCCCCAGGTAAGACCCCCTCTCATCCCCCACAAGCACATGTCTGCCTCGACGAGGAGGAGCCATCGCCGTATCTTCTGCCCTCCCTCACGCCGGAGTTAACCCCGACTTCTGGGGAGTCACCCCGTTCGTCGTCGTGCTACTCCCCAGACTACTTGGCAGTCCACCCGTCTTTTTGGCTACAACGTTTACAAATTGGTCCCAGGAAAGAATGACATTGAGGCTGGAGTTGGCCAGTTCCCATGCCTCCCAAGAGAGGGGCCAGAAGGGGCACATTTCTAAGGACACTTTACGTTCAGCTCCAAGTCCAAGAATAAGAAATGATTAGCTGGTTTCCATCTGGCTTCAACACTGGTTTGAAATGTGAATAGCTTTTTCCTGTATAGACATTAAATAGTTTAAATATTAAACATTACATTTACTTTTCCTGACTATACAGGCAGAAATTGTGAAAGCCAAAGCAACAGAGGCAAGAGCAGAACCAGACCCAATGGCAGGCTGACCTTCTCCAAGGCCAGAACTTCAACAGGCCAGGGAGCCAAGTTCCAGAACGCGCTCTACTGGACACAAAGCGGGTTTTCCTATCTGAATGATCAGGCTGCTACAAAGGGAGAACCTGGAAGAGGTTCTGCCTAGTCAGTCCCAACCTGTGGCACAGAAAGACCCTTGCACGAGATTTTCTGGTGGCCAAGGGACCGCAGACCCAATCCGTACAGCATCTCAAGTTAGCTGCTACCTGGGCTAGCTCCTCCCAAGAAGCAGACCCTCGACGTCTCCAGATGCAGAAGCTCAGATGGTTCCCTAATGGCAGGACAATTATCAGGTGTGAGGTTACTGTGATAGGTGGAGCACCGAGCCAACAGGCTAGTTCTGTATATCCCAACAAACGCCCTTTGCCAACTGAGAACATCACTCATCCCTGGGCTTTTCTATCGATACCTCTGGCTAAAGCAACTGAAGATGGCATTCTTTAGATGCCATCAACTCTGGATTTTGTGGAATGAAAACACTTTCTCAGGGCTGCCTAAAGGATGTCATTCTATTGCCACATTTACACGAACTACACTCTCAATCATCAAAGTTCAACTCAAAGCACTTATACCATCCAGCACCAAGGAGGCTGGAAACATCACTGAAACACCACGCTTTATCAATTAGATACAGCAAACCGAGGCAGGATAGCAGCACAAAGTGTTGAGCCTCCTAAGGCCTTCTCTGCCCTGCCCTGCTCTTCAGGGACAAAAAGCGGAGCCCCAATAAAATGGCCGAGCACTCCTGTAAGCAGACTGCGAGCAGCAAGCACACAAGCTCTCCCACCCCTGGTGGTCCTCTTCACCGAGAGGCTCAGACCAACATTTACCTTCTTTCCACTAATTCAACAGAGAGGGATGGAAACTGCACTCCTTTCTGCCAAGACTGAATCGGTGTCTTAACAGCCAAACCCTCCTCCCCTGATCTGTTTTCTGAACATCGTCCCAAAGTCTTTTAATGCTCAGAAGATGATAGGATGGGTGACCCGGACACCCTGACATCCAACTCGACCTCCTTCCCACAGGCAGTGATTTGACATTCCCAATTAGCCTCCTAGAAGACTGAAGCTTCCTTGGTAAGATGCTGAATCCGGTAAGAAGCTGCCCAAATCAAGATTTTTTTTTTTTTATAAATCACAGGTAGAAACATTATACCCCACATTTGATACAACTTTTAAGTCCTTCGAGAATTTGACCCAAGTTGTAAAGTGGTGCCCTAAAGTTCCATCTCCTCCTCTGTGTAGCTGGCCGTGTCCAGGCCACTGTAGACAGGGATGCCGACTTGTCGGGGCTCAGAGAAGAGCTCAGTCTGTTGGCGGAAGGCAGCGCCAGCTCCCGCGTGCTTGCTCTGGTCCCCTCCAGGCTCTTCTTCGTAGTTCTGAGCACGAGGTAAAGGCTTTGGCTTCTCAGGAAGGAGTTCTGGGAGAGGTTTCCAGAGCACCAACTCCATGGAAGGACGGCTCCTAAGAAACGAAATGTTTTTCATTAAAGCTCATGACAAATGGAGTCACAGGACACGTGCTAATGTTTGCTACCTATGCCTTAAGCCTGGAGACTGAATTGCTTTGGAAGAGGGGGAATGGCTGGCCACGATACGCCATCAAGGAGCGTTTCTTAAGCACACCCATGTGCCAGGCACCTCTGGGGCTGGGAATACAAAGACAGAAATGGAAGAGTCCCTGCCCTTGCTGATGCTCTATCAGGGAAGACGAGACATATGAGCATCTAGAGAATAAATACAAAAAAAAAAAAAACCCACGGTGGTCAACTCTGAGGCAGTCGAGGCAGGGGGAGCGAGAGGTTGAAGCATCCAGGACAGGCTGCACATACGAGCTACCTTGGTATGGGGAGGAGAACATGAGTTGTTGAAAGACAACGATGGAGAGTCCCAGTACTTGCCCACTTAGATTTCTAAAAGCACGTGTCCAAAGAAGATGGAGGAAAAGCAAGGACAGAGAACCAGTACAGCAGCAGCACAGTCCTGTAGGAACAGGCTCACACTTCACGAGTCTTTGGGGCTAAGAAGGGGCTGACTCTGGGCAAGGAAGGCCAAGGACAACAAAAAGGGTTAGTTATCTTTAATTTATATAAATTATTTTAATAGTACACGTATTTTATATATTGGAGGCAAGGACAACTGACGACAGACAGAAGGCTGCTGTCGTCTGTTGTTCAGTTGTGTCCGACTCTCTGTGACCCCATTTGGGGTTTTCTTGGCAGGAATGCTGGAGTAGTTTGCATTTCCTTCTTCAGCCCATTTTACAGATGAGGAAACTGAGGCAAACAGGTGAAGTGACTTGCCCAGGGTCACCCAGCTAGTAAGTGTCTGAGGCCGGATTTGAACTCAGAAAGGAGTCTTCCTGACTTGAGGCCTGGCGCTCTATGCACTATGGCGCCACCTAGCTGCTACGAAATTCCTCCTTTACACCGAAAAGAACAAATCAAGACGGCTGACAAAATACTCCTATCCCACTTAAGAGCCCTTAGCTGGCCCTGTCCCATTGAGGTGCTGGCCCAATGAACGAGCTAGCAGAAGGGAGGCCCCAGCCAGGCTCACGGATGTCTGAACAAAGGAAAAGAGCAGGAAAGGTAGTACATCACCACAGAAGGGCAACCCGCCCCCCCAAAGGGAAGAGAAGTCAGTGAACCTGACTTCAAACCCTTGCAGAATTCTAGAAAGTAACATTAAAAGAGAGGTTTGAGTGACCACTGAGAAGGAAGCAGCAGTGACCAAAAACAACCAGGACAAGCTATCAACCGATGGTCATGCCAGACTAACTTTATTCTCTGTTTATTTTGACATAATTCCTAAAGAGGTACACGAGATTTTAGGAATGTGCCTGATAAAGTATTCCTATAGAAAAGATGAAGAAATGTAGGCTACATAATACAGCAAAAAGCTCTCCCTCCAGAGTAGCCAGCAATCTCCAGTAGAGTCCCCCAGAGCTATTTGGTCCTGGGCTGGCCAACACTGATCACGACGACTGGGAATACAGGTCCAGACAACCTGCACATCAAACGACAGCAAGGACGCCAATGGAAGATCTTGGCCGTCCAGCTCTAAACCACAGTGAATCTAAGCTGATGAAATCTAACAGAGATAAAAGTAAAACCCAGCAGTTGGATTCAAGTAATCAACAAGATATGGGAAGAGGCAGCAGTTTGTCTAAACAGATCTGGGGCTAAAAAGTGTGTCATCACGGTCGAAGGAGCCAACGACACTTTGGACTGCCCTAGGAGACACCTCCTACCCTGGAAGAAGGTCAGGTTGGGTTTGGTGCTGGGGTACCCCCTTTGGATTCTGTGCTTTTCTACCATGAGAATAAAGATTTATGGGACCGTAGGGCTGGGTGGGGCCAAAGGTAACCACAGAATTGTCTCTGTGCTGCTGACTCCTGAATTGCTATATTAAGCTCCAAACTCTACCCTGTGCTCCAGTTCTCCACTCCCAACTGGAGGGGACCGACCTGATGTTTCAGTGAAAAGGGGAATCCACAGCGAGTTGAGGTGACTGGCCGAGGTTGCTCAGCCAGGGCTCTGAGTCCAGGCTGTCCTCACTCCGAGGGCAAGGCTGGCTCTCTAGCCACAATACTGGGCATCCTCTTGAGGGACCATTACAAACAATGATTACTCTACTACAGAGTGTGTCCCCAAAGCCTTTGGGCTCCCTTAGGCTTTTCCAGCTGGGGGGGGGGGACGACACTACTGGCCCCTGTACTCCAGACACCCAGACTGCTGGATGGTTGGTATGTGTCTGTCCAGGCATCCTCGCTGTGAGCCGTCACCTCTGTGCTGTTGGTGTGTGCCTCTAGCAGCTCCTCAATACGCCCACCCCCTCTTTATCTGGGAAAGGTTGCCCAAGCCTGCTAGGATTGTATGTAAGAGGAGCCAAGATGGTGGAGAAGCAGGAAGGCTACGGTGAGCTCCACTCAAAAAAGTCTCTTCCAAACATTTCTAGAAAACACACCAGGTCAAATTCTCGTCAGGAAATCCAAGGAAAAAAATCACAGCGAGTCATTTCCTAGCTAACGTCAGCAGAGGGAGCCAAAGAGGTCTGTGGACACCTGTACAGGAGACGGCCAGGAAAGTACTTGGAGGGGGCATTCCAGCACCGGGAGGGCAAGAAATGTCTCAGATACAGCACAGAGGGGCTTAGACCTCTACACGGTGCAGAAACGGGTGTCAACTTGGCTCACTGCCAAGTTCCAAGTGACAGGTCTGGGGTGAACTGGGGCTAGGGAGCTGCTTCCAGGATGGAGTGACCAGCCACGAGTGCTAGGCTGTGTACTGAACAAGGAGCCAGCTCAGAAGCAAACCCAGGAACACAGCTGGGGCTCAGCTCGGCCAGCCCCCTCAGAAGCCTGAAGCATAATAACCAGGACAGGAATCCCAAACCAAGGGGGAAGCCTGCACTTCTGTCCCTCTGGCTGAGTGGCTGAGTCCAATGGGAATCTACTGAAACTCTGGAGCAAGCCCGGAAGCCTGCTCCTCAGACTCAAACCCCGGTCGGCAATTTGCAGAGCTCAGACCAGGTGGGAATGATCAGATCCTGCCCTGGATCAGACTACTCTGACAGCCTGGAAAAACACAACACTTAATACCCCATGAGAGTATCAGCAGCCTCAGGCCAGACCTTCCCTCCAGAGCTGTGCAGACCTGGCTCTGATACAGAGTCTAAAGTCAGGAAACAGGCTGGAAGAATGAGCAAACAAACAACAGAATCTTATCATAAAAAGCTGCTACGGTGACAGGGACGCTTAAGAAACAAACCCAGAAGAAGAGAATGACTCCAAAGTATCTATAAAGCTTCAAAGAAAAACACAGCTTGGATGCAAATTCAACTAGAATTTGTGGAAAAGATGAAACGGGTTAAAAAGAATTTAGAATGTGTTTATAAACGAGAGCTCTAGAGGAAAAAATTGGGGAGGGGGGGGAATGAGAGCTATGGAAGAAACTGGAAAAGGAATTGAAAACTTGGCACAACAGGCACAAAACCTTGCCCAAGCAACCAACACTCTAAAAATCAGAATGGAAAAATTCAAATACTGAGAAACCATAGTCAGTATCACACACAATTTAGCAGTTACCACTATAAAGGAGCAGAGAACTTGGAATACAACAGTCCAGAAAGCAAAGGATATAGATTCATAACCAAGAATAACTTACCCAGCAAAACTGATTCTAATTCTACAGGGGGAAAAATGGACCTTAATGAACTTCCAATCATTCCTGATGAAAACACCAGAGCTGGGCAGACACTATGAAGTGCAAACACAGGAAGCAAGAGAAACATAAAAAGGTAAACTTGAACAAAGAGACTAAACAAAGATAACTGCTTATATTCTCATATGAGGAGATGACACATGTGTTCCTTCTGAAACATCAGAGGTCATATAGAGTGTATTTAAATGGAAGACCTGGGAGTAGTTCTGTTAGACCTTGATCTTAAAAGAAGGGAAAAGGAGAAGAGGAGTACACGGGGGGGGGGGGGGGGGGGGGGGAGGAAAGTTGAGGATAATAATCTTTTTTTTTTTTTTTGGCTAGGCAATGGGGCTAAGTGACTTGCCCAGGGTCACATAGCTAGTAAGGGTCAAGTGTCTGAGGCCAGATTTGAACTCAGGTCCTCCTGACTCTAGGGCCTGTGCTCTACCCACTGCGCCACCTAGCTGGCCCCAAAGGAAAATAATCTTGAATAACTGGGGTGTGCAAATAGTCTCTACAAACAAGGAAGAAGGGCTGGGGGAGTGGCTGACACTTGAACCTGACTTTTACCTAAACTGGTCAAAAAAGGCAAGAGTGTACGTACACACGTACACACACACACACACACACACACACACACACAGAGTTGGGTACAGAAATACATTTCACTCAACAGGGAGACAGGAGGGAAGGGGGAGAAGGAAGAATTAGAACGAGGATGAATTCAGAGAGGAGTTAGTCCTAATCAAAACAAATTCTAAGGATATTTATAGCTCTTTTTGAGGGGGCAAAGAAGGGGAATCTGAGAGGGGGTCCCTTAGGGAATGGCTGAACAAGTTATAATATATAACAAGTGTGATGTAAAGGGATGATCTCAGAGAGACCTGGGAAGACTCATATAAACTGATGCAGAGGGAGGTGGGCAGAACCAGAATTTATACAATGACAACAGGATCATAAAGACAGGCAACTTTGAAAGACTTAAGATTTCTGATCAATGCAATTACCGATGACTCTAGAGTACTAATCATGAAACACAGTGCCCGCCTCCTGCAGAGAAGTGAGATACTCAGAGAACAGAATGAGACATATTTTAGGGGGACGTGACCAATGCCAAAATTTGTTTCGCTTGATTAGTATATGTCTGCAACAAGGGTTTTATTTTTCATTTTTTTTAATGACATTTTTGCAGATTGAAAAAAAAATTAATTTTAAAAATTTTCTCTGCAGAAGGCACAAAGGAGGTAAGGACAAAGTTCATCCTTGTCAGAATTATTTTATCTATAAAGAAACATAAATAAAATTCCAAGAAGAGTGTGAGAAACTATCAAAGACAGTGTATTTTGGAAATAATGTTCCCTGCAATTACTGAAAAACAAAAGATAACTCTTAAAAGATTTTAATCATGTCTGAAATAAACTGAATCACTCAATCAATAAGCACTTATTAAGGACCTACTATTTGCCAGGCATCGTGCTACATGTTTGAAATACTAACAGGAAACAACTCAGGAGAGTTGTTCTCTTCCAATCGGATATACACGTAGTCCCAATGATGCACAGTGTTTCCATTTTTTTGACCTGGTCTTAGAATAGCTTTTCTACTGGGATTATGTATACATAGTAACCTCCTATCTAACTGGAAGAGAAAAGTTGCTAGAAGGACAAGAGAGATGACAACCCCCCTGAACTGTATCCACCACCCAGAAGGGAATACTTACTAAAACAACCAAGAGGCAAGTGAGATAATTGTTACTCAGGTCAAGGCCGGGGCTCAACAAGAGAGCAGGGAAATCGCTGAAGGCCATTCTGACAAGACCCTTGTATTTTTACAGCCTGAGAAGCAAATGGAAGCCTTGAAAGTGAACTTACATGGACTCGATTATTTTCTTTGTAAGGACTTCATCAAACCCACTCTTCAGGCCTGTCTTCAGAGTATCCGATAGAACAAGACTGGGCAGGTGGCTGATGCGTCTGTCAGCTTCGACTTCTTCATCTTCATCAATTATCCTGAATAAATCAAGGAAGCAGGAGAGACTAAGAAAGGGACATTTCATTACCTCTGATGAATCTGCAAAACCTGGAAAAGGTTAGGAAAAGCAATAAATGGGGGCAGCCAGGTGGCACAGTAGAAAGAGCACTGGCTGGAGTCATGAGGACCTGAGTTCAAATCCCCCCTTAGACACTTACTAGCTGTGTGACCTTGGGCAAGTCACTTAACTGACTGCCTCAAAAGAAAGAAAAGAAAAGCAATAAATGGATGGTATGGTCTATAGCCATTATCATGTACAAGAAAGACCCACTGGAAGGAAAAGGTAGCATACACACAAAAACACTGTTCAGTGAGTGTTTCAGGAGGAGGGAAGGGAGGAAGAGAGGGAGGGAAAGAATTTGGAACTCAAAATTTTAAAAAATGAATGTTAAAAATTGTTTTTACAAGTAATTGGGGGAAAACATTTTTTTAAAAATTTAGTGTTTCAGAAAGTTTAGAAAAAAAAAGATTATTCTGTTTGACTGTAAACTCTGTATACCCCTCAGAGTTTCTTATATATTATAGGGGTAAATTACTAATTGTTGATTAAATGCTGAAAGTAAACAGCAAGTCACACCATTTTAGCTTAGCTTTAAAGAATTAAAGTGTGCTTCCTATTTCTTAAACTCTTAGCAGTTCCCGAGTCTGCAAAGTAGGAATGAGCCCTCGTGGCTCAGCACAGCCTGCACCAAACCAGGCCGGCAGCACGCACCAACCCTCGTTACCTGTCTTCGATCTCCTGAAGCTTCCTCCGGGCAGCCTCACACTGCTGCTCCCCAGTTGTGTGATCCATTTCTTCACAGAGAACATCGTACATGCCCGATGCAGAGAGGCCGCCTCGGCACTCGCTGGCCCCCGGCCCCTCTGTGCCCTGAGGAGCACACAGGAGCCAATCACCCGGACTGGCACAGAGCACCGCTTCTGTCAGCCTTTTCTTCCTTAGGGGACAACTGGAAAAATGAAGCTAGTCAATAAATACCAGGACATTTTAAAGCTCGTACAAATCAAAGAGAAATTTCTCAGATTTGAAACAAACGGGAGAAATCCCTTGTCAACATTAGGACAAGGTGAAAAACAGCCCAATGCCTTCCATCATTCTGATCCCCTTTGTGTGATGCTTCGTTCTACAAGGCCAGGGGAAGGGCATCTACCTTTTTAATCACTAGGCCCTTTCAGTAAAGTGGCCACAAAAGCATATTTGGCATCAAGAATCCTGAGCAGGCTGGGCTCCCAGGCTAACTCAGAGTATTGACCTGTTGACCACCTCACCATACAGGATGCCTCACTCTAGGCAGGGCCTCCGCCGGAAAACTCTGATAATGGCCATCACCTTCTCCTGAAGCTGTCTCTGGGCAGCTCCCAGAGGTGGGGATATTGTTCTGATATCGAGCCTGAAAGTTCCCCATGATGCTCTGGGCTTTCCCCTGTCAGCCTCGTAGAGTGAGTCTTGCATGCAGAAGCCCTTCGATTATTTGAAGGCAGCCACCATGTTCTCCTGACACTACTCCAGACTTCACAGCCCTGATTCCTTCAACTGACCCTCCCATGGCATAGACTGAAGGCCTCTCTCATTCCAGGTGCCCTTCTCTGGACACATTCCATCTTATAAACAACGTCCTTAGACTATGGGGTTGAGAGATGTAGTCTGGCCTGGACAGGGTACAGATGGACCATACCCTCATCCCGAAACCCTGCCCTTCTTAATGAGCCCAAGATTGCATTAGATTGGCTTTCTGGGCTGCCACCTCACTCCGTGGACACCTCCGGGCTTGCAGTCCACTCAAACCCCCAGATCTTTTCCAGACAAACTACTGTCTAACCAGGACCCCCTGATCCTGTAGTTACGAAGTAGATTTTCTGTACTCCAGTATAAGAGCATCTATCTCTTCCTACTGACTTTCATTTTATTAGATTCAGCCCCACGCTCTGACATTGCAGCTTGTGACAAGCGTGCCATCTCCACCTTTGTCCCAGGGCCCAGCACAGCCCCTGGGGTTCTCCACTGGAGGAGCCACTCCCCCAGCTCTGAATGCATCACCTCTATTACCCTTTAGCCCAGAGCTCTTGTTTTCTCCACAACCACAGTAGGGGCTACTTTGTCAAAGACTTGAGTAAAAGCTAGAAAAATTCTGTCTACAGCACTCCCCTCATCGACCAAGTTGGTAACCCTATCACAAAGGGAATAAGGTTTGTGTCTTACTGACATGCCTTAAGACAAGCGTCCAGGTGGGGCGTGCTAACTTGTGACCACGGCACCTGCATACAGTTAGCTAATGAGGCTCTCTCTGGGCACCCCCAATCCCCTACTGCTGCTATACAAAAGCCTGTGACCATCCTGCTGGAGAGGAAGACAGGAGAGGTGACCGCTTCCTGTTCTCTGAGGGCAGCGATTGGATTCTTCATGAGGTCTATGTTCCAAACTTTCCAGGTGCTAGTGAGGTCATTTTATTATTTCTTTCCATGAAGTCAGAAGGCTGCTCTTTGGGTTTATGTGGTCGGTCCCTAATTTTGGGAGTCACTTTTTTCTGCCTTAGGGCACATTTCCTTTACAACCTAAAACAATCCTCCTGTCCAGGGAGGGACAGGATGTTCTGTTAGGAGCTGCACAACATCAGAGACAGAGCTCCCCTACTCTAGGGGCTTCCTATCTCAAGTCCTTCACCTGGGCATAGACCAGCACAGCTAGTACCCAGCCTGAAAAGACGCAGCGGCAGCCCTCTGGCCAGACACACACATTCCTGGCTAGTATCACTGCCCTGTTCCTAGGTCTAATGATACTGACAAAATGACATCAAATTTTCCTAGGGAAAATTCCTGCTTTTTAGCCAAGACTGAGAAGGCTAGCAGAAAAGACAATGGTGAGCACCATTATCTGACAGGGAAGACATTCTTACCTAAATCATCAAGGGAGTGCTGGATCAGAAATCTGGAAGAGCCGAGTTCAGGTCCTGCCACAGTGCTTTATTAGCTGTGTGACTCGAGGGGAGGGCAAAAGGGCACTAACCCTCTCTCAAGCTCAGAAGCCTCACTGGTGCCATGAGGATAACAATAATTCCTCTCTTCCAAGGCTGGTCTCTGCAAATCCTTAAAGCACTACAGAAAAGCTATTCTGCTCCTACCCTAGTTAATAGGTCATCAGGGCCAGCAGCACCTCCATTTTAGAGATGAAGAAATCGAGGCACAGAGCTGTTAAGTGACTTCACCTAGGGTCACAGAACTCATAAAGGTCTGAGGAAGAATTTGAATCCAGTCTCCTGATTCCAAGTCCAGTGATCTGTCCCCTATACCCCACTGCCTGGTTTGGAAAAGGAATACAGGTTTATTTTTCATACGCAGCTGCAACCTCACAGGAAGCTGACCACAAAGCTTAAAACCTGCCTAGGCAGCAGGGTGAAGTGGCTAGATTGCTGGGCCTGGCATCAGGAAAACCCTGTCCTTCACCTTCTCAGCTGTGCCTTTGGGGCTAACACAGCCTGGTGCCAAACAAGCCTCCATAACATGGCTTTGAACTGTACTCTTACAATTTTGTGTCCATTCTGATCCCTCTAAATGAGAGGAGCTACAATAATTTTTATCTCACAAAAATGATACAAAGATGAGCTAGCACAAAGAGCCAAAAACTAGGGGTCAGCCTGAGTTCTAGGGGACATCACTTGACCTCTATGACTCAGTTTCTTCACCCGTAAAGTGAGGTGGTCCGGCTATTTAGAAAGCACATTAGAACTCTTTCCAGCTCTAAAGTTCTGTGACCAAGAATCTCAAGTCGAGACCTAAAGCCTTTAAAGGCCTATCAATCCAGTGAGCCAAGGAAAAATCCAATTTACATTAGCATTCAGTTGCAGAAATGAAGAGGGACTCACCTATCATCTTCCTCTTCTCGCTTGTGTTTCTTTCTATAGCGAACTGAAAGTCTGTCAATAGAAGAAAAGTTCGTTAATTGGGAAAAATTCTCTTAGTTAAATAACTGTTCACACACTGCAGCAAATTAAAGTATGACGACTTTTCACTGACTATTTGGACTCTTTCAGGAAACAGGGCATCCACACACAAGATGAGAAAATGCTGTTTGTATTTGGTACTGCTCTGGTCCCTTCCCTTCCTGGGGGCTGAGACCTGCATTTAGTTCTCCCGTCTCCATACCAGCACTCCTCCTTTGTGGAGATCACCACAGGTCACCCAGGGGCCCTTGAGTCAATCCACTAGTATTTACCCAGCTCCCACTCTGGGGAAGGCCTCATGAGGGGGGGAGAGAAGATGATAAATGAGAGGCTCTGCCCTCTAAGACCTTGCAGTCTAATGGGGGATCTGAGGAGCCCAGGAACAGCTCTAATACAGGTTAGAAAAAGCGAAATCAAATAGCTCCAAGTGTTTCTTCCCCCTCCACTGCCCTCATCCCAGTCCGCCCTGGATTGGTTTTATCTACTCAGCCACCACACCGTGCATGTGTATATGTGTGCGATGCAGAAGCACAAGGTGGTACAGCAGATAAGAGAGCTGGGCTTGGAGGCAGGAAGACCCAAGTTCAAACCCACCCTCAGATGCTTACTAGCCGTGTGATCCTGGGCAAAAACAGTGATAGCCAGCATTTACACATCTCTGTAAGGTTTGCTAAATGCTCTCTAAATATTATCTCGTTTTATCATCACAACCACCATGGGAAGTAATCCACATTTTACAGACTAGGAAACTGATTTGACCTCTGCCTCAGTAACCTCATCTGTAAAATGGCAGATAGTCATACACATAGCACTTACCTCTCAGGGTTGTGGTGAGGATAAAACGAGGTATTTTAATTTCTTTTGTTTTTTGTTGTTTTGGCTAGGCAATGGGGTTAAGTGACTTGCCCAGAGTCACACACCTAGTAAGCGTCAAGTGTCTGAGGCCAGATTTGAACTCGGATCCTCCTGATTCTAGGGCTGGTGCTCTAGGTACTTTGCCACCTAGCTGCCCCTAAATGAGATACTTTAAAGAGCACTTTGTAAATCTTAGGGCACTTTGTAAATACTAAATATTCTTATTTCGCCACCTCCCCCAATAGACTCTGAGGGCAGTAACTATTACTCCACCTTTGATTCTGCCCATCTGCCTAGTACTTAAAGTGCCTGACATTTGGGAGATGCTAAATCACTATCTGCTGACCGTCAGAATTCTGAGAGACCCCAGAAGGGACAGAGGACTTCTAGGGGAGGATAGAGACATCAAGGAAGATGTTATGGAAGGAGAACCTGCACTGGGCTTGGAAGAAAATTACCCACGGGTGATGTCTGGGGGATGGGGATGGGGGTCCATTCTAGGAATGAGAAAGGGTGGGGTCAGAAGTAAAGGTCTGGAAATAATGGATCGGTCCAGTTTGACTGAAGCAGGGGAAGTCAAGTCTTGTGAAATGGGCCTTGAATGCCAGGCCAGGCCAAGAAGCTGATATTCTTTGTATGAGTAAGAGGAAACCACTGAAAATGTGAGTTAGGGGAGTGACCCAGTCAGTACTGTGAAACATTCTGGCTTTGAACAGAGCAGAACACTGATCCTTACTACCTGACCCCCTGTGACCTGGGACAAGTTACTTCCCTAGTATGTCAAACATAGAGGCTGGACCAGGTGACTTCTAAGGTCCCTGGTCACTTTAAAGTTCCAAGGGAACTGGATGCAGAAAAGAGAGGCAGGAAAAGACCATATAAAAGGTAATGAGAAGAGGGTTGAAAGAGGGTCCAACAGAGAGCAGCTACCACAGTGAGAAGGGATGGGAGCAGGATGGAAGAAACAATGTCAGGGCACAACAGGGTGTCCCCACAACCCCATGGAGGAAGTGAAAGATGAAGATGGGAACAGAGATGAGCCTGCAGGGAGCTCAGAAGAGCATTGTAGGCTTTAGGACTGGAAGGCACCTTAGAGATTAACACAGAAAAGGGGATCACAGGGCAGGTGGGTATTCAGTGGAGAGAATGAAGGGCCTGAAATCAGGAAGACCCACATTCAGATCTGGCCTCAGATGCTTACTGAGTGACCCTGGGCAAGTCACTTAAGTTCAGTCTCCTTATCTGTTAAGAGGGGGATAATACATCACTTAACTCCCAGGGCTGTTGGGAGGATCAAATGTTAAAATACTACAGAAATGCTGACTGTTGGTGTTCTAGTATCTTACAGGGACATTGTGGGGAGCGGAATTTAGAGTTTATAAATGCTTTTCAGGTGAAGTCTGTTACAACTCCAAATTCCAGGCCCCAGGAGCGGTTCTGTTCTGTTCAATCTGTTAGGGTGGGGAATGGGGGAGGGGGGGTCTCCCACAGGTACAAGTTTGATATCAGCCCATCTGTACTCCAGGATCAAGCAAAACAACTGGGCCTGTGCCTAGGTCCCCATCACACACACACCAGAAGGTACCAGCGGCCTGGGGTCATTCATCCCAGGAGCCCAGAGAGGTGAAGAGAAGGTGGGAGGCTGGGGTCCTGAAACCGCACCCCCTCCCCCCATGCTCCCAGCATAGCCTATAAGAGAGGCCCAAGGTGAGGGGCTTGCATGTAAGAGGCAGTAAGATCCTCACCCAGGGATTAGGTGCAACGCCACCATTTAGGGCCGAGGGGGCTGTAGATAACAAGGGACTTAGAGAGAGGTACTAGATGCAAGGCAGTGGGAATTCCATGGTGTAGAAAAGTTTCTTGTGGGCAGGGCCCTTTCCTGGGGTGGGCAGGGCCCTTTCCTGGGGTTGGCCGGTTTGCATCAAAAGCCTCCCCCCCAAAGCACGGGGCCAGGTCCACAGCAACTAGACATATCCAAGTAGAGTTGAAGAGGGGGCCTAGCCAGGGCAGAGGTTACTGCTGCTACCTCGGGGAGTGAAGTGGGAGACGGTGGGGGAGGCAGAAGGGGAAGGGCGGAGTAAAGGTGGAAGGCGAACAGACTCCGCGGGAACAGGAGATGGGGGGGGACAAAATCCCCACCTCCCCCAGGGCACATAAGGGGGAGGGGGCAGGCTGATCTTCCAAAGCAGCGGGAAGGCAGCGGGAGGGGGAGGGGGGCAGGAGAACCGGCATTTATTAAGCGCCTACTATGGGCAAGGCACTGGGCTAAAGGCGGGCTAAAGGCAGGCAAAAGGCAGTCCGGGGTCTCAAGGAACTCCCAGCCTAATGGGGGAGGGGGAGGGCGCGACCACACGCCAACAACTGTATACACACAAGATACAGATGGTGTAGACGGGAGACGATTGGCAGAAGGGAGGCACTAGCCGGGTCACAGACCAACCCTTGGGGGGGGGCAGGAAGACCCTCGGGGACAGGAGGACGAGGAGACAGACAGACAGACCACCGCTCTGGGGAAAGAAGGGGGCTCTCGGGGCTTGAGAATGGGGGAGACCCCGGGACTGGAGGAGAGGGGGGCCGTGGGAATGGGGGAGCCCCCCGGGACCGGAGGATGAGGAGACAGAGCACCGATGGCGGGATAAGGACGGGGGCCAGGGAGACCCCGGGGACAAGGGGAAGGAGGAGGGGCGAGGAGACCCCCCAGGGCGTGAGGAAGGGGAGGGGCAGAGACACAGACCCCCGCCCCCTCCCCGCGGCCGGACCCCCCGCCGGGCCCCCCTACTCACCGGCCTCGGGGCGCGGGGCTCCGCAGGCCGGCCAGGCCGGGGACGGCGGGGCCGGGGGCGGCGGGGCCGGGGGCTCCCGGCCCCTGGAAGGGACGGCCGTGGTAGGAGGGCTGCGGAGGCGCCTGCAGGCTGAGGGGCAGCCCCGGGAAGGGCCGGCCCAGGGCGGCCATGGCGGGCCGACAGGCCGCGGCAAGAAGCGGCTCCTTCTCCTCCTCGTCTTCCTTCTCCCGGTCTTAGTCTTCTTCCACCTCCGCCTCCTCCTCCTCCTCCTCCTCCTCCTCCTCCTCCTCACAGGCGCGCTCCCGGCCTCGGCCCCGGCCCGACCCCGACCCCTCTGAGGCGCGCAGCGGGCACGAGCGCAGACCGGGCACGAGCGCAGGCGCAACCCCGAGCGGTCCCCACACCCCCCCGCGCGGCGTCACGACTTCTAGAAGCCTCCGCTTGGGGCTCTCCCGGGGCACGCCGGGACGCGTCGTCTCCGCAGCCGGCACCCAGGGGATGCTGGGAAATGTAGTCGAGACCCCTGAACGGGAGAGGAGGACCACCAAGATGGCCGCCGCGCCACAGGGCGCGTGCGTGGCCCCGCCGGTGCTAGGCTTTAGGGGCAGGGGCCGCCATAATAAAGGGAAGGACCAGGAGCGGCTTCGGTCTGTGATTCGATTCTGAAGGGAGCTGCGCAAAATAGTCCGGGGTCACCAAGAGGTCAAGGGGTTTAGTCCTGGCCACCCAGCTGGGGTGGCCGGGGGCGGGGCTTGGATGCGGGGCTGCCTGATTGGAGGCCAGCTGGTCACCATAAAAATAATAATAATAAATAATCTCGTTGTCCTCCGGCTCAGTGAAAGGAGGGGGTGGACTCCGTGGCCCCCCTCCACTAGCCCCCTCCAGCTCCATCCTCATCATCTTCCGAACCTATTAACCCTGCCAGTCCATGGGTCAGCAAGCATTTATTAGGCACCTACTACGTGACAGCCAGCCACTAAGCATCTATTAAGCACCTACCTACTACACGCCGGGTACTATCCTAAGCACCTGGGACAGTCCCTGCTCTCAGGAAGCTCGTAGGCAAACGACACGGGGAAGGTCTGGGTTTGACTCATTACTACCAGTGACCATGAACAAGTCACTAAACTGCTCGGTGCCTCCGTTTCCACTTCTGTAAAACGGGGCTCTGACAACAGCACCTACCTCACCAGGATATTGTGAGAACCAAATGAGATACTCCCTGAGGCTCCAGACACGTTAAAAATACGTCATTTATCTACCTCTTTACATACGTGATTTGTCACATACAAACGTCATTTTTTACATACGTCATTTGTTGGAGAGGGAGGAGAGGTACACGCATTTCAATACCTCCCATATGCCAGAAATAGCTCATTTGATCTTTACAACAGCCCTGGGAGGTAGGTGTTATTATTATCCTCGTTTTACAGTTGAGGAAACTGAGGCAAACAAAGGTTAAGTGACTCACCCAGGGTCTCACTCGCCTATTAAGTGCCCGGGGCAAGATTTTAACTCAAGCTCTGCACTCTTCACCTGGTTGCTTCTAACAGGCACTCAGTTTTGAGCGTGGCATTTTGCTGGTGTAACCAAGATCCAGAGCATGACCACATGGACTTAAGGGAATTGCAGTCCAAAAAGAAAAGGTCTGTTCTTATTTGGGAGAGAAGGTTCACCAGACTGGAGAGTTTGACCCAGCGCCAGAGATCCCATTTCCCTGCTCCACCTATTAAAGAACTCTGAAGAAATGTGTAATTGTAACAAGGAAAGGATGTTGGTCTCTCATCAATCCTTGGGATCAATGGAAGGACCACGAATATTTAATGCCCTCTTCCTTTCTCCTAGTACATGGTCTTCCCTATTTCTTTTGGATATTTCTAATTCCTGATTTTTAAAAAAATCTCCTATAAACTCTGACCAGCCATAATAGCTCTGGGACTCCTCTATTAATTGCACACAGAGGGACTTCAAGGGAGAAGCCGAAGAAATTAAGGGACAGAGAGGATGAACTTTTCCTGTCTGACTTGAGGAAATGGGGGGGGGGGGTGTCAGGGAAAGACATCCTTCTCTTCTCCACCCCAACTCCAATGGGGGCTAAGACAAGGGAAAGAGAATCTTATGGTTTTGATTTTATTCCCAACTCTTCTAAGCTCCTCAGTAGGAGAATTATATGAACCACCTGGTTGGGGGTGGGGAAAACATTGGTCCTTGAATTGTGAGTTAGCAAGAGTCAAGGATTCAGGTGGCTGAATTACTTGTGGGGGGGGGGGGGGAGAAGGGCTACGCTTCACACACCTGAACCACTAAACCTTGTCACATAACACTGCTGCCTGGTTGTACTGGTCACAGAGCTAGAATTTGAAGCTAGGCATTTTGATCCCAAATCTATGGGCAGTGGCAATTAGGGTTAGCCCTAATTCCTTAACTCTTTCACACTTAGATTGGAATCTCCTTGAGGTCAAGGACAGTTTTACTTTTGTATTTATTTGCCCAGCAGAGAGCACAATGCCTGGTACGGTGGAGGCAATAAATAAGCACCTGTCCATTGGTCATTGACTGGTATCACACCGCTTCTCATTACACTAAATGTGTGTCTGTGGGAGCCCACGCTGCTATGGTACCAGATGGTACTTTTTTTGGGGGGGGGCAGTGCAGCTAGGTGGTGCAGTGGATAGACTACCAGCCCTGGATTCAGGAGGATCTAAGTTCAAATCTGGCCTCAGACACATAACACTTACTAGCTGAGTGACCCTGGGCAAGTCACTTAACCCCATTGCCTAACCAAAAAAAACAAACAAACCAGATAGTATGTTTTTTCTTATTGCTGGGAGATATCATGATACACCTCAGAGACTTAGAACAGTCCCCCTTTGAGAGACCCAATGGTTGGGTACATAATATTGTAAGTAAGATATGGAGTAGGAAGGGTCCATAAAAATCATTTTCCAACTCCCTCATTGTATGGAGGGATAAACCAAAACCCTGAGAGGTAGAGGCTCACAGTGGTAGTCAGGATTTGAACCTAGGCTCTGACCATAAAGCCGCTTCACTTTTTGTTTCTTTAAATATTTTATTTTAATCAGCCAAGATTCACTTTCTCTCCTTCCCACCATAACCCTTCCCCTGCCATTGAGAACCTAAAAAGAACAAAATCTATTACACACATGTGTAGTCGATCTATTACACACATTGGCCATGGCCAAATAAATCTGTCTCATTCTGTACACTTTTCTATCAGGAAGTAGGCAGCGTGTTTCATCACTTGGCCTCTGGAATCCTGGTTGGTCATTATGCTGATAAGAATTCAACTCAGTAGCGTTCCATTGCATTTATATACCATTACTTGTTCATCCATCCCCCAATTTATGGGCATTCCCTATGGGCAACCTGTTTTCTTTGCCACCTCACAAAGAGCTGTATTTTTGTACTTCATTACTTTGTTTTGCTTAGGACTAATCTCTCCCCTAATTTTATTTCCCTGATGAGTCAAATGTATTTTTGTACCAACTCTCTGTGTGTTTATGCCTTTTTTTGGCCAGTTCAGGTGAAAATGAGTTTTCAGTGTCAGCTCTGGTCGTCCCTTCCACCTTGTTTGTATGGATGTCTATATGTGTACCCTAATTATGTGAGATAATTTCCCCTAACCTTCCTTTCCCTTCTCCTCCCACCATGCATTTCTCTTCCTTTCTTTTTCTCTTTTTAAGATCATTAAGACTTAACAGAACGTCTGGGATCTTGTCTATGAACCCTGATGATGATAGGGTCAGAGGGGATGTGTGGATCATCTCTCTCTATTTGAATATAAGCAGTTTATCCTTCTTTAATTATTCATCATTACTAATTCATGTTTACCTTTTCATGTTTCTATTCGCTTCTGTATTTGAACTTCAAAGTTTCTCTGTAGCTCTGTTTCTTTCACCAGGAACGCTTGGAATTCCTCTATTTCTTTAAAGATCTATTCCCCCCTCCCCCTGTGGTATTATTCCCATTTTTTGCTGGGTAAGTTATTCTTGGCTTTAAGCCTATCAAGATACTATTAGGAGACACCCTGTTTTCCAGAGCTAAGGCCCAGCAAGCAAGCTGCACCCTGAGCTTGGCATAACAACAGTCCTTTGCCCTTACCCTCTGGTTGAACACTGCTGCAACAATGAAAACAGAACTGATGGTCCCTGAGCTGGGACAATGGCGCAGACATGAAGCCCTGCTATGAATGGGTTTTTTATCACTGGACAATCTTGCCTCACTATTATTGCTATACTGCATTTTTTAACTCTTCGTCTAGCCACAAGTACATAAATCAAGGTTTGGCCACACTAAGTTGGTTACCCCCAATAGGAGCGGAGCCCCGGCACATGTCTTCTTTCCTTTTTTTTGCTTATAAGCCAGTTCCCTCACTTTGAAATTAAATGTCCATTTGATTCCTGACTCTCCCATCTCTAGCCTGCTCTGTTTGGCTCTGGCCATCCATGGGTTAGAGGCCAGTTCACTCCAGTTGACAAGCCCATATCCTTTGCCTTCTGGAATATTGTATTTCAAGCTCTCTGTTCTTCTCTATTGGTGGTGGCTAAATCACGTGTGATTCTGGCTGTGGCTCCTCAGTGCTTGAATTCTTTCTGGACGTTTGCAGTATTTTTTCTTTAACTTGGAAGTTCTGAATTTTGGCAATGGTATTCTTAGGACTTTTCCTTTAGGGGTTTCTTTCTGGAGATGACCAGTAGATTCTTTCCATTTCTAATTTGCCCTTTGGTTCTAAGAGATTTAGGCAGTTCTCTTTTAAGATTTCTTGAAATATTTTATCTAGATTTTTTTTTTGTCATGGTGTTCAGATAATCTAATGAATCTTGGCCCATCTTCCAAGTCAATTGCTTTTGCTATGAGATGATTTATATATTTTTTTCAGTCTTTTGACTTTGTTTTAATATTCCTTGTTGTCTCATGGAGTCATTGGCTCCTATTTGGTCCATTCTAAAATTTTAGAACATTTTTGCTTGGGCAAGATTTTGTCTCTTTTGTGCCAAGTTGTTAATTCCTTCTTTTATAGTTCTCATTTCTACTCCAATTTTTCCAAGTTTTGTCCTTCCATTTATAAAAGCATCTTTAATTCTTAAAAAGCAAACCCCTCTTCCTTCATCTCTTCCAGGAATTCTAGTTGAGTTTGTGCCCAAGTTGT